TCACATACTGGCTCTGACTCTTACTAACACTGTAATATTGAGCAAATCACATAAGCCCCTCAGGTTATGATGTCCTGCCTCATAGGATTATTATCAGAGTAAAAAAACTCATGCAGAGTGCTTCGTCTGACATTTAGTAAGCCTTTGTAAATGATGGCAAAGGCATGTAAATAAATGTAAATGCAGACCATAGTGTCGCAAAGAGTCAGACACAGCTTAGCATATGACTTAGCAACTGAACAACAACAGAATGATGGTTGCCTGGATTGCCTTTAAAATCTCTAGTGCTGTGTGATATGTTGAGGATGCATGCTGAAAACCTCAGGACAAGAAAAGCCAGGCTGTGAGATTTTCCCTGAAGGCCACTTAAGTTCTTTGGAAATAGATTTAAACTCTAACCCCATACCTAACATATGATTTTGACTCCTGTTGACAAAAAAAAAATCAATTTTGAACACCTAGTATTAGCAAATATTATAATACAGTAAATATTATAGCAAAGGGTTCACAGAGACCAAAGAGTTATTATGTACTTTTCTTTATTAAATTAATAGGTAGAATTCCTACCCATCCTCCCCACGTCCTCCCCACACCAGCACCAACATACACACAACACATGCATAACACACACTAATATTATTTGTGGAAGGAAGGTCTTAAAATAACTTCTGTGTCCAGAGTAACGTTTGTATTAGTTATTGTATTTTGTGTTGAATCAGGGTGATAGAGTTCAGCTGTAAGAAGGTATTCAAGATGTCACAGCTTGTAATGAGAGAGACTCTGATGCTGAGGTCTTGCCCCCAGCCTGGGGGAGAAGTGCAGTGAACTATAATAGATGGCGTCACCTGGCCACAGTGACTGCCCCCTGTAAAGGCAGCCAAGGTGTCTATCCACAGTGCCCGCTATGGGTAGAACATGGCCATCGCATCTTCAATCACAGAAGTGGTTGATCCTTGACTGCTGGTTGAGCTGCATGAGTTCAGCAAGCAGGCATTCTAAGAGGCTTCCAGAAGTCTTCAAGAACCAGGCAGTCATTTGTAGAGATGAGGATAAGAAAGCAATCTATGGCTTCAGGATTTCTGTACACAGATAGAGCATACCAGACCAGGGCACGCTTCAGCTTCTGGAAGTTTCTTCTGGGGAAGAAACCTGGAAATAGCTGGATGGTGTCTGGACTGGGTTTGTATGAAGCTTCAGTTTCAATAGGAAGGAGTGGTTCAACATACAGAGCACAGGTCATGCTGGGGATGGGAGCAGAGCTTGTTATTGACCCTACAGACAAGATCCAGGCAGAAAAAAATAGGGCCAGTGTAGGACGCTGTGCTCCAAGCCTTAATACCAGAACAAGACTGAGGAGAGGGGGATGGTGACCCCAGGTTCCAAAACTTTACTTTGCTAAGCACTTTTATTCAGGAAAGCATCTGAAGTGTTCACGTTATAATTATTTCTAAACTATATAGGCATTCTTCTTTCTAAGTGAAATATCGTACAGTAATAAAAGAAGGCATTTGGAGCCATAACGTGAGAAGAGAGTTACGGAGACTGTTTCATGTGTTTATTGGTCCTCCTATTACTGGGCAGGTGTGCCAGGAAGAACATCTTGTAATATTCTGATTTTGTTTCTCTAAGCTTATTAGAGGTGTCTTTCTTAAAGATTTAGTATTAAAAATTTTTTGTAAATCACATAGATTAGCCTAGAATACCCAAGGGGTTCTGTGCTTAATTTCCTACCTTAATTTCCCAAAACACTAGCCTTAAAAATAAATATATACATTAAAAAATAATGAAGTTCCTAAATTTATACTCAAAATAAGTTAAGCTATACCGATTTCCAGTAGTCATGTATGGATGTGAGAGTTGGACTGTGAAGAAAGCTGAATGCTGAAAAATTGATGCTTTTGAACTGTGGTGTTGGAGAAGACTCTTGAGAGTCCCTTGGACTGCAAGGAGATCCAACCAGTCCATCCTAAAGGAAATCAGTCCTGGGTGTTCATTGGAAGGACTGATGCTGAAGCTGAAACTCCAATACTTTGGCCACCTCACATGAAGAGTTGGCTCATTGGAAAAGACCCTGTTGCTGGAAGGGATTGGGGGCAGGAGGAGAAGGGGACGACAAAGGATGAGATGGCTGGATGGCATCACCGACTCGATGGACATAAGTTTGAGTAAACTCCGGGAGTTGGTGATGGACAGGGAGGCCTGGCGTGCTGCGATTCATGGGGTCACAAAGAGTCAGACACGACTCAGCGACTGAACTGAATACCGATTCTATATCTGTTACAATATATTTTTCTCAAAATTTTAATTTAAAGTCACCTTCCTTACAGAAACAGTATATAGATAAACAAAATAAAAATACCATATTCTGATTGCTCAGATGGTGTTAACTATTCACCCGTTAGGGTATATCTTTCTGGAGGTTTTTCTGTATGAACTTTTTTTTTTTACCCAAATGATGTCATTTATTTTAGCAGACTTTTAAAAGAGTAGCTTAGTATACGGTAAAGTTGAGAGTAAAGGATGGAGACTTCCCTTCCACCCTCTGGCCCGGCATGTGTGTAGCTTCCTCCATTGTCAGCATCATTCACTAGAATGGTGCGTATTCATTTTAACCAGGGTTGAATCTGCATTGACACATCATCATTACCCAAAGCCCACAGTTTACCAGGGTTCACGCTTTTTTATATATAAGTTTGTTTTTCTTGACTTCTGGCCGTGCTGGGTCTTTGTTACTGTGTAGGCTTTTCTCTACGCACGGAGAGTGAGCGACTCTCTCTGGTTGTGGTGCTCAGGCTTCTCATTGTGGTGGCTTCTCTTGCAGAGCACCAGCTCTAGGGCGCACAGGCTGCAGTCGCTGAGGCATGTGAGCTCCGTAGTTGTGGCTCCTGGGCTCTGGAACACAGGCTCGGTTGTCGTATCACACAGGCTTAATTGCTCCACAACATGAGGGATCTTCCCAGATCAGGGGTCGGACCCATGTCTCCTGCTTGGGCAGATGGATTCTTGGCGCTGAGCCACCAGGGAAACCCTGGCTTTCACTCTTGTTTTTGTGTATTCTGTGGATTTCGACAAATGTATAGTGACCATGTGTCCATCATCATAATATCATACTGCCGTAGAAGAATCTTCTGTGGTCTGTCTGTTCATCCTTTCTCCTACTCCCAACCCCTGGAAACCGCTCATTGTTTTTTTAACTGTCTTCATAGTTCTGCACTTTCTAGAATATTATGTAGTTGGAATCATGGAGTTTGTAGACTTTTCAGATTGGCTTCTTTCACTTTTTGATATGCATTATTTCCTCCATGTCTTTTCATGTCTTGGTAGCTCATTTATTTTTAGCACTGAAATGATATTCTGGTTTCTGGATGTACCGTATTTATCTATTCATGTACTGAAGAATTATCTCAGTTGCTTTATTATATATTTTTAAAATTTTTTTATTGAAGTACAGTTTATTTACAATGTTGTGCCAATATCTGCTATACAACAAAGTAACTCAGTGATACACATGTAATAGACATGCTTTTTTTAATATTCTTTTCCATTGTGGTTTATTGCAAGATATTGAATATAATTTCCTGTGCTATACAATAGGACCTTATTATTTTTTTTAATTTACTTTTGCCAGTTAATGACTTTTCCAATAATTAATTTTTTTATCTCATCTAGAACTTAATCAATGTATAAATTCCAAAAGAAAATCCTTTTCAGCAAGTTTGTCCAAATCCAGGGCCATTATATTGTATCTGGCTCTTATTTAATCTAGAGTAATCCTTTTTTTTACCCCCTACAAAACTTGACTTGAAGAGTCAAAGACAGGCGCCTACAGAAAGTGCCACTTTCTGGGTTTGTCTGGTTGCTTCCCCATGGCATTCAGCATGTTGCTCTGTCCTTTGTATTTTCTGTGAAGTAGAAGGTGAATCTGTTGGTGTCATCCGTTTAGGCTCCACAGCTTTGGGAGGAATGCATTGCGAGGATGATGTGTTATTTTGCGTTGCCCTGCATCAGAGGGCCGACAGGCCAATCCCCCTATGTGCAGTTATATTTGTCCCCTTGCCAGTAGGAGGGAATCTGTGTGGTAGCATTGAATGTTCATTTGCTCATCAACAATTTTCCTGCTGATTTTAACATTTAGCGACAACCCTCGACTAAAGAAAGAATTACACTATGAATATGAAACTATATTTATAAAACCTATAATTTCTTTTACATTTGTTGACGGACATTTTCTGTAGGGATTTCTCAACATAGTGGGATTATTAGGTTATCATAACATATAGAGTCCTTTAATTGCCTGTTTTCAAAGTAAGGAGTTGTTTAATATCTACCTCAGAGGAGATGTGGAAAGAATTTAAGCACTTTTTAAAAATGCTATGGTTGTGGGATGGGGGGTGAGAGGGAGGCTCAAGATGGAGAGGATATATGTGTGTGTGTGTGTGTATATATATATATATATAGTTGTGTGTATATATATATAGTTGTAGTGTGTATATATATAATTGTAGTGTGTGTGTATATATATATATATATAGTTATGGTTGATTCGCATTGTATGACAGAAACCAACACAACATTGTAAAGCAATTATCCTCCAGTTAAAAGATTTTTAAAAACGCTATGGTCACTGCAGTATGATTTCTTGAGCACTTCCAATGTATCAGGCTCTGTGTAAAGGCCTCATGTAATCTAATTCGTATGGGAGCACAGTGAGGTCATAGAGATAGAAAATGGAAATCATAAGAGGCTGAATAACTTGATACAGTTACTTGTGTGGGAAGTAACAGAGATGGAATTCAAACCCAAATGGGTCTGCATCCAAAATAAGTGAGTTATTCCTCTTAGACACTTTTGTTGCATTTTACTTAAAAGCAAAATTCTGTTTGTAATGATATTTGGAATATTTCCCAGTTCTTAAAAACTAGAAATGGATGTTATGCTTAATAATTCTCAAGAGGTCTCTTACCTCTCCCCCTTCCATTTTTTAAAACATTTTTTTGCAGTGTGAAGAAAACACAAATCTTCAGGATACCACCCGCTACCTCAAACTTCCTTTTTCCAAGGGCATTCTCCTTGGGAATAATAATCAAGCCACGAAGGCCACAAAGGAGTCTTTTTGGATAACATCTTTTCTCTGTTCCACAAAACTGACACAAAATGGTAATGTATAATACTGTTTTATTTGAAAGCCCCTGTATTTAAGTACTCATGTGAATTTTAGTAGGATATTCTGTAAACATCAGTTTTATATTTCAGAACTTTGCACTAGAAAAATTGTTATTGATCCTTCTGTTTGTGGTTTCTAATAATATGCAAATAATTGTGACCCAATGAACAGTTAAATGTGTATAGTTTAAGGACTACAGAATTATCCTAGTATTGGAACCCAAGTACACAAGTCCTCAAATAAACCGTAAAAACCCAGCTGCTTAAAAAAAAAAAAAAAAAAGACAAAGATTACCACAACCTTAATCTCTCTTGCTTCATAAACTGTGCTAATTGCAGGCTTCAGAGTAAATGCTGTTTTCTGTTTAATTAGATGGATATTACTTTTCTATTCTAGCATTACTTTTTATGTCAATGATTGTTTAGCAAGTTATGATTAATAAAGCAAGCTCTTCTCCTTGGCAAATTGTCCTGAAAGCATTGTCTGTAATGAAGGAAGTAAATTAAATATTTTTGAATTCTTCATGGTTGCCATGTAAGGCTTCTGGAAAGCATCCTGAATGCCATATAATAAAATTAGTTTCATTATGTTAAAGACAATCACTTTATAATAAGGTATGGCTCTTCCTTGACTTTAGGATTGGGTTACATTCTTTTGATAAGCCCATGGTAACTTGCATAAAATAAGTAGAATATGCATTTAGTACACCTAACCTACAAAGCATCATGGGGCTTCCCAGGTAGCTCAGATGGCAAAGAATCTGCCTTAATGCTGGAGATGCAGGTTCAATCCCTGAATCAGGAAGATCCGTTGGAGCAGGAACTGGCAACTCACTCCAGTCTTCTTGCCTGGAGAATTCCATGGACAGAGGAATCTGGTGGGCTACAGTCCATAGGGTCGCAAAGAGTCAGACATGACTGAGCATGCACACACCACCACCACCACAAAACATCTGAGAAAAGAAGTTCTTTCTTCTGTGTCATACAGCTTAGCCCAGCCTACACTAAACAAGCTCAGAACACTTACAGTAGCTTACAGTTGGGCAAAATTATCTAACACAGAGCCTATTTTATAATAAAATGTTGAATGTCTCGCATAACTTATTGGATACTGTACTGAGAGTGAAAAACAGAATGGTTGTATTAATAACTATATTGCTTCTTTACCTTCATGATCACTTGGCTGTCTGGGATCTGAGGCTCAATGCTCAGCATCATAGGAGGCTGTTGTACTGCATGTAGCTAACCCAGGAAAAGATCAGAACTCAAAAATTGAAGTATAGTTTCTAAATGATTTCATACCACTTTTGCACCCATGTAAAGTAAAAAATCTGAAGTCACACCATAGTAAGTCAGGGCTCTGTATTGTTAGGCAAAATATGCTCCTGTGCTTAAACACTTTAAAGTGTTATTATTACTTTCTTCTGTGTCATATAGTAAGAAATACATATATTTTCTCAGAACATGGAATGAGAAAAGAAGCAAATTTTGATGTTATTATAATGACCACTTTTAATGATACCACCCAATTTGTCAAACAGTGCTACTGTATTTATATAGGACCTTGGCAAATTATTTTTTTTACATTTATATTGGGTTTCATTTCTCCCCTTCCAGAGGTATTTTTGGAGACATATTTTAAAAAATAAACTATGTAATTTACTTTTAGTAAATTTGATTGAAGGTAGCTATTGCCAAGTTAGGTCATTGCGCCAGACTATCAGTATTCAGTGGTTAATGATCTTACTTAAATAAAACCTTCATTGACAGAATTCTGTAATGACTATACAGCATTTACCAAATCTCAGGCCTTTTTTTGTGAGAGGAGTCTAACCTCATAGAGGTTGTGAAAATAATAAAATCAATGTTATTGACTCCCTTAGGTGGTATTGTCATTCATCCTATATGGATGAGTTGTGTGTCTCTAAAGAATCTGGTTCATATTTAACTCTCTGCCTCCATTAGATTATTTTCAGCCGGTATTAGTTGTCAGTTACTGCTGTAGTAATTACTATAAACTTATTGGCTTAAAACAATTATTTGTTATCTTATGATTTTGGAGGTTGAAAGTCTGCAGTCTTATTCCCTGGGCTAAAATCAAGGTGTTAGCAGGGCTGCATTCCCTCTTGAAATCTCTAGGAGGGGATCCCTTTACTTACCTTTTCTAGCTCCTAGGAACCACCTACATTCCCTGGCTACAGGCCCCTTTCTACATCTTCCAAGACAGCAACAAAGCATATTCAGATCTCTCTGACTCTTATCATCTTCCATCTTTTAAGGACCCCTGTGATGAGAGTGCTCCCACCAAATCACCCAGGATAATAACCTATTTAAAAGATCTTTAACTTAATCATACTTGTAGAACTATTTTGTCAGTTAAGATAAATCCATGGATTAGAATATGGACATCTTTGGGGGCTATTATTCTTCCAAAGATATAAACCTAACAATAGATTCTCTGCCGTGAAAATACGTGGCACTGCCTGCTTAATTATTTCTAGTTCTAGGGTTTAGGCTATTAGACAGAACTGTGAACATAAGACCGATAACTAGAAGCTGCTGCTCTGTAAAAGCAGAGAACATTTTTCAAGTAAATAAACTATTCACGAAGTCATTAAATTAAACATCTCGCTATATAGAAAGCATTATTGAAAACTAATAAGTGCTTAATTACCATTGTGAGTTTGATTAACCTTGTCAATGTTGAACAGCTCAAAATGAGGCAGGAAATGAATAGTGTGTTTAAAGACATGGGACAGAGGAAGGAAGGAAGTTCTTTTTTCTGAAATTTACATGCTAGACACATGTCTCTGCGTAGAAGTAATCCACTTCCAAATTGGGATTAAATTGCTTTGTATTCATTTTACTCGACTTGGAAAATATACAAATCCCATTTCCATTACAATTGGGCATTTAGTAAGTGATGTGGTCTCTAGGGCAGGTTTCCTAGAGCAGATTTGCATTCCAGGATGTTCTGTGTGTTCCAGTGTCATTCTTAGCATAGTGAGGCTAGTGCACTGGCTGGACTGGACATGTGTGATTGCCAAATCAAGGAAATATTTTAAGTATCTTAAAAGTGGGGATCAGAAAAGGAACCACTTTACTTGTTTGTTAGCTTCCTTGGACTGTTAAAAACAACTTTTTAAAATGTTAAGAAAAAATGAAAACAATGTTTAAATTCAGTCTAACATTTGTGCCCATATTGACTGCTCCATATTCCCCCCTCCCCCCAGTAACAGGTGGTTTATTCAGTCTCTCCCTGAGACTGTGGTTTTTTAAAAAAAAAAGTAGGGATCAGGTCATCCACCTATTTTATAGCTCTTGGCAGACCAGGCATACAGTCAGTATACACTTAAATGATAGTTGAATGGAATGTATAAAATTCTCATTTTCAGTAATAGATCCTAGCTGCAAATTTGCAGCTGATGTATCTTCAAAGGGCTATAATAAAGACCTAAGAGATGATAATTTTGACTTGATTCTGAGTACATGGCATACATGATTAATTGTGTCCAGATGGACAGAGTATAACACTTTGTTCTCCTTTTGGCTCCATTGGGAGCAGTCTAACAATTCCTCAGACTTCTTGCAGGAAAGATGAACAGCCCCACCCCGTACCGCTGTCATCTGCTATCCGGCTCTGCTGATGACAGTCCTATCCTTGGTCCTCTACTGATGCCACTTTGCAGCCCATAGAGCCTCCTCCTTCCTCGCATTGAATGCTCCTGCAAAGGCCTCATTCTAAAGGGCAGGGAAAGAGAAGGAGGGGACAGACCCGGATGGGAGGGAGATTGGGAAGTGAATCGCAGGGCAAATTGTAAAAGAGGGCTGCCAGGGAAGGAGGCAGGCATCCTGAAGCCAGATGCGGTAAGTCGGAGCGGAGCAGCAAGCAGACCAGGAGAATCCTGGAGAACTTTCTTTAGTCAGCTGGTCTCACCCTGTAGAAACTCTCATCTAAATGTAACCGATCATATTTTTAAATGTTTCAGTCATACCTCCAGAACGTCTGAGTTAGACATGAATGTTCAACATTTTCAGGGTTTTCTGCTATAAAATAATCATAAATTTCTTTTTCAATGTCAGTTTTTGAAAAATTCCCTCATTTTTTCTAATTGTAAATCTTCCTCTTCCTCATCCCCCTATTTGTTACAGAAAAATATTCCTATTTAGTGCTAAGTTTCCTACTTTTGGTTCCTTTTTGAAGTTTTTCCCTTGAAATTGGCTTTGGTGGAGGTTGCTTCTATTTCTTCTTGAGATTCTCATGTTTTTTCTCTTTATTCACTGTGTGTGTTAGATGCTCCATTGCTTCCAACTCTTTGTGACTCTATGGACTGTAGCCCGCCAGGCTCCTCTGTCCATAGGATTCTCCAGGCAAGGATACTGGAGTGGGTAGCCATTTCCTTCTCCAGAGGATTTTCCTGACATAGGGATCTTTATTTATTACATCATGTTTTCTTTCTTATCATAACTGCTTCCTTGATTTTTTTGTATTATTTGTTGTTGTGGTTGGTGTTTGTATTTTTTGGTCTTTCTTGCCTCTTGGCAAGTCCCATTCAAGTTTCTCTTGAAACAAGTGCTTTGAAGCAGAAAACCCCTCCTGGCTTCTCTCGTGGCTTCTCTAGTGTCTCAGCCCCACTGGGCACCAGGAGAATAGTCCTGGGCACGTGCTGCTTCCATGAGCCTTGTCAGTTGTTACTGCTGTCATTGGCCCCGATGCCGCTGACTCCTTGTTCCCTTTGGAGACCAGTGAAGATGGGCGCCATGTGCAGGAGCTTCTGCCCGGGAAGGAGGAGGAAAGGATTTATTCCCTCACCAGTGAAGAGGTTCCCTGAAGACTCTGCTAGACACAGGGCTCACATGTTGTCAGGTCAGAAAGAAAAGGGAATTGAAGAGCTGGGACCTGCTCTTGCCCAGAGTCTAGGGCGGAAGATGATCACGGAGTCCAGGAACTGGCCCTCTCAGGTCCAAGGGCTCATTTGATGGTCTGACAGTTGACTGGACTTGTCATCACTGTATGGTGTCTCAGTGGTTAAAACCCATCTGCCAATGCAAGAGACACAGGTTCGATCCCTGGGTCAAGAAGATCTTCTGGAGGAGGGCATGACAACCCAGTCCAGTATTCTTGCCTAGAGAATTCCATGGCCAGAGGAGCCTGGTGGACTACAGTCCATAGTGTTGCAAAGAGACCCAATTGAAGCAACTTGGCATGGCATGGCATGGCTTCATTCTGCAGGAACCTTCTCGTCCTGCCAGGTTTGGGTCACGTTGTCAAGAAGACCTTCATTGCCAAAGGGAATTGTTTGCTTGGCCAAGTGCTATGTCTTGGGAACAGAAAAATGAATCAAGTGGGATCCCAGCCCTCAAGAGTCTCCCAGTTTAATTGGAGGAGTTAGAAAATTCTTCAACCAGTACTTACCAACTGCCTGCTGTGTGCCTCCTCCGTTCCAGCGCTAGCACTGTTAGGGCCAAACTCAATGTGGTTTTTTTATCTTGGAGTTTACAGTCTTTGGGCAATTACAAGTAGCCTGAGAACTGAAGGATAAGCAAGAGTTTGTCAGTCAAGGGCACTGGGATGGGAGAAAGAGAAGACACTGTAATAAATGCCATCTTAGAGGGTTAGTTGGAGTCTGGGGGAGCCTGCAGTTTGGGTGACCAGGTGGAAGCATATTTAAGAATTCAGTGTTTACCAGTTAGAATACTTTCCTGTGAGAACCTGTTCTCTATCAAGGCAATAATCTTCCTTTTCTATTTGGACAGGTGATATGCTTGATCTTTTGAAATGGAGAACCCACCCAGACAAGATCACAGGCTGTCTCTCTAAATTAAAAGAAATTGATGGCTCCGAGATAGTAAAGGTAAATGCATCCTGTTATCCTTCTCTTAGAAATTTGTGGGATAAAGAATATTTAGAGGGGAAATACAGAGGATATTTTATTTATGCTTTTACTTCTTTATCTAACAGTTTCTGCAAGATACACTGGATACCTTATTTGGAATTTTAGATGAAAATTCCCAAAAATATGGGTCTAAAGTGTTTGATTCATTGGTGAGTTTAAATTAACTTTATACCTTAATTTTGTCTTTAAATCTTGACTTTCATAAGACCATTTTAGGAATGTGCACTTAATAGAATGAGCTCACTTGAAAAGAAACCTTCCCAAATCAAAAAAAAGAGAGAGAGAGAAAAGAAAAACAACAAAAAAACAAACAAAAAAATTAAAAAAAAAAAAAAGAACAAACCTTCCCACTCCCCTGCCAAAAAAGTCTTGGTTTTCATTCAGTTTTGTAAAACTCTGTTTTGTTTTGTTTTAGGTTCACATAATCAATTTGCTGCAAGATAGCAAATTTCATCATTTTAAACCTGTAATGGACACTTACATCGAGAGTCATTTTGCTGGGGCACTTGCATACAGGTAAGGTCCTTTGTCTTGTAATTGGTTTAGAAACAGTTTCTTTTGAACTTTTTAAAGCAGAACCAGCTATATAGGAAAATTTAAAAGAGAGTGTAGGAAGAAATGAAGTACAGCTACTCAAGTGTCTCTTGAGACAGTATCTTCCTTTTTCACACACCTTTTTTTGATGGCTGAAACTTATTTTTATTAAAAAGGAGCAGGTGGGGGGAGAACTTCCTGAGTTCTAGTCCTGAAACCTAAAATATGTTTTCTTCTTGCCTCTGTTTCACTTGATCTTCTCTAGTCTAAAATACCTGGTTGTTTCATTTTGACAGTCAAGAACCCCATTTAATCATCACACTCCTTGGTAATTCTAGATGTCTTTAAGAAAGATATATAATGGGAAAACAGCCTTTGCAATCATACCATTTTAAAGTCCTTTGTTCATCCATTTGTTAATATTTGTTGAGTGCCTCCTGCATGCACTAAGCTTTGTGCTGATCGTATGAAGAGCTGGCCCGTGGATGCAAGGAGTTCAGTTATTAGACTCTATCCTTTGTTACCAGCTGCCATTTTAACTGCTGCTCCTTTCTTATCAGCTCAGATAAGGCAAGCAAGACTAAAAGTGAATGAATAATGACATGCTGTAGCTGGTACTTGCCTACATGTAGCCTAGAAGATTGGCTCCCCTCTTTCTGTCTTATGGGTGACATCTTCCTGGTCATGGGCCTGCTTAATACAGCCCTGAAATGTACCCCAAAGTTCCATCTCCCCATTCCACTGCTGTCATTGCTATTCTGCCAGGTTTTTTTAGTTTATAATTTTTTTTAATTAGAGGATAATTGCTTTACAATGTTGTGTTAGTTCCTGCTGCACAACAACGTGAACCAGCTGTATGTATACATACATCTCCTCCCTAGCCTCCCACCACCGCCCCCATCCCACCGCTTTAGGGCGTCACAGAGCACCGAGCCGAGCTCCCTATGTTATACAGCAGCTGCCAATGCTTTTATCTTATACACTAAACACCTGTGGGCATGTGCACGCAGTCATCTATTCCCAGAGGTGCGTTAAAGGGGCATGGAATCAGGGCTTTGCCCTTTCCCCCCATCTGTGTGCTGTATAAAAGATAGTAGGTAATCAGCTAAGCATTTCATCCAGTTCCTTTGGTTGTTTGCTTCCATAGCCTGGTAAGATTTACACCTCTGATGTTTAAGTGAATGGAGTCATTTTTGCAAGACTTGACCTTCTACCGACATGAGTTTTTCAAAGGGTGAGATGTTTGAGCAAGGATAGTTTTGCCCATGACCTAACAGTTTGGGCCCTGGTGTGAGGGGTCACCATTCTGACTGACACTGTCACTAGAAACTAGAAAACAGTGGTGTAATTTCTAAACTTCAGATTAGCCAGGAATGCAGCTGATCAGTTCTAATCAGACAAATAAGGCCCATGGAATCTTCATGGGCCAGAATCATGACCACTCATCCTCAAAAGTAGTGTTCCCATCAGCATCTACCTACTGGAACAACCATGAATTCTCCTCAGACAGAGAGAAAATTTTAAAAATTTGCTGTTTTCTAGATGCCAAGAATTGGCCGGTGTTAAAGGTCACGTAACTGCAATCTTGAGAATTTAAGGGGTGGAGGTTAATTCAATTTTTGTTTCTTAAAACAATAAAACTTCTAGAAATTACTTGGAAAAAATAAAACTTGGCTTTTCTGGAAATTAACAGGGCATTCTCTGATGGTAATCCTCATTCTTCCCACGGTCAGAGAATTGATTTGTTAAGCCCATGGGGTTGTGATTTGAAATGAGGAGGTGGTACCTTTATCCTTCCCCACACCTCCTTTTGCCTCCTGCTAAATATTTCATCCAAATTAGGATTTCACTGGGGAGGAAATCCTAATTAGCAGTTGTCCGAGATTGACTGTGGCAGTCAGATTCAGACACTCCCCTGGCGGGAGTCCTTTCTTCTGATACTTGTGTTCACTCATTGGAAGCATGGCCAGAAGCAGCAGGGCTCATGGAATATGTCCAGATTGAAAGGAATCTCGCTGGGAGGAAATGTTGTTTCTTCAGCTTCAAAAGAGGGATAATGATGTTGATATGCAGACTTTGTAAAATTATCATATTGTAACAGTTTGACAGAAACATTGAGAACTGATGGAAAATGACACCTCCTTGTGATAAAAATAAGTGTTTGATTTGTTGGCTTCTAATTGAGAACAAGACCTAGTCTCCCTTCTGCACATTTCCCCTGTATTTTAGAGATCTCATCAAAGTACTCAAGTGGTATGTGGACCGGATCACAGAAGCAGAGAGACAAGAGCACATCCAAGAGGTGTTGAAGGTAATGACACGCTGTGGATAGCATGTCATAGCCCAACAGTGCTGCTGCGTGGTGATGCCTAAGCAAATTGGTTTCCTCTACACAGACAGTAATTGCTGATGATGTATCACTGACATTCCAGTGCAATGATCTTAATCAGTTTGTGGCTTCTCCAGAGGTGATGAGATTTGAAAAGAACTTTGCCAGACTCACCCACTGGAACCTCCCTGGCATTAAATCCTTACTCTCCTCCAGGCTCTGAACACTTGAAATCTAGAAGGAAGGATTGAGAAGACAAGACTGCAGATGAGCAGTTAAGCTTAGAATTTCTCTGTTCTTGCTTTGACCACCCTGACAGAGACCATCTGAGAACCATTTGTCTTACATTTTAAGGGCTTCCCTGGTAGGTCTGCTGGTAAAGAATCCATCTGCAATGCAGGAGACCCCGGTTCAATTCCTGGATTGGGAAGATCCCCTGGAGAAGGGATAGGTTACCCACTCCAGGATTCATGGGCTTCCCTGGTGGCTCAGATGGCAAAGAATCTACCTGCAATGTGGGAGACCTGGCTTCAATCCCTTGGTTGGGAAGATCCCCTGGAGGAGGGCATGGCAACCCAATCCAGTATTCTTGCCTGGAGGATGGCTTAGCAGGGATCATAATGAGGAAACCTGAGGTTTTACAGGGTCTTGTGGTTTAACACTGCCCATATCTCTGGGCCCTACAAGCTCTGTATATATGAAGATGTTGATACCTTTCTTGCAACAAATTTGTAAAGAATCTACCAATAGATTCTTTTTTAAATTAGTTAATTGATTTTAATTGGAGGGCAATTACTTTGCAATATTGTGATGGTTTTTGCCATACATCATCATGAATCGGCCACAGATATGCATGTGTCCCCTGCATCCTGAACCCCTCTCTTACCTCCCTCCCATCTGTCAATAGATTCTTAAGAGGTTTGTCCAGTAACAGCCTTGGCAGCCTTTTGATTTCTGTAATTGAGTACATAGTATTTAATGTCAGTAGGTAAAAGTAAACAGGTGTACATTCTGAAAAACAAGCATTTTACTCATTATAAATTTGTCATCTGGGGCTGATTGAAGGTAAAATGCAAGTGGCAAAAGAACCTACCAGCAAAGCAGAATTATTTTTGAAAAACAGACCACCATATCTTTGTTAATTATATTAAATCATCCGAGGATCAAAAACATTTAATGTTCATACCTCTTTGAGAATTATATGGAATTTAAAAATTATCTATACATTTGTTTCCGCTCATTAGGCATTAGAGAAAAACAGCTCTTTTGCAATGAGTAAATACTGTTCAAAAATCACACAGGGCCTTAGTACTTAAATCAATAATTTAAAAGTCTAATGTACTATAGTTTTGTGTTGTGTCATTGTTAAATTAATACCTTTGATTTTCTTTGAAACTAACATTTTAAAAATTTTGTTTTAAGGCCCAAGAATATATTTTTAAGTATATTGTTCAGTCTCGAAGGCTGTTTTCCCTTGCCACCGGAGGACAGAATGAGGAGGAATTTCGCTGCTGTATTCAGGAGCTGCTCATGTCAGTTCGTTTTTTTCTTTCACAAGAAAGCAAAGGATCTGGAGCATTATCTCAATCACAGGTAATTTTTTTTTCATCTCTGCTGAACAGAGGAAAAAATGAGTCCAATTTATTTATTTTTACATAGCCACCTAAGTGAATATTTTCCCCCTCAGCATTTCATAACTCCAGGTTATATTTGTAGCTTAAATGACTCGGAATAACCTTTTAAAAAGTCCCCCAGCTTCTGAGCACCAGCAGAGCAAAAGTTGGTAATGTCTTTCTTTGGACTGTTATCACCCCAAATGGAAAGCCTGTTGGTTTGCATCGGCCTCCATTCCAGTTTCTAGAACTCACGCTGCTGATTGGAGACACCCTGTCAGTGTCACCTGTGGAGAGGAATTTTTCTCTTAACTCGCCTGCTACTAGAAGGACTGATGCTGAAGCGCCAATCTTTTGACCACCTGATGTGAAGAGCTGACTCATGAAGGCAAGACTGAGGGCAGGAGGAGAAGGGGGTGACAGAGGATGAGACGGTTGGATGGCATCACTGGCTCAATGGACATGAGTTTGCACAAACTCCAGAAGATAGTGGAGGACAGAGAAGCCTGATGTGCTGCAGTCCATGGGATCATAAAGAGTATTGTTTTGAGCAACAAAAACAACAATCTGCTGCTGCAGTTGTTTCCCCCAAGCCTGCCTTTTTTTTTTTTTTTTTTTTTTTTGGTACACTGTGTGAACAGTTCCCCAACCAGGGATGGAACCCAATCCTGGGAATGAGACTGGTGAGTCCTAACCACTGGACTGCCAGAGAATTCTCTTGTACTGCATTTTAATCTGTGCACTTGAGGCTCATTGTACTGGTCTCGGCTAAACTGCATGTTGTTTTGTTTCCAGTAGACCCTAATCATCCTGGGAGTTATTCTCTATCACCAGTGCTCAGCGGTTGCTGTCAAAGTATATTACCAGGAGTAGCTCTCATGTTTTGTTTAAGAACAGGATCTATCTACTTTTCAAATAGTGTGCCAAGAGGTCATTGTGCTGTGAGATCATTCTGAATACCTTTCTCTACACTTTCTTGATGCTTCTTGTACCTGTTTAATTCTAATAACTTGATTAAAAAACCCATTAGATGGGAAAGAAACTTCTTTATTACCCTCCCCTGGAGACTTGAGACTTACAATGACTGTGAATTTGGATACAAAAAGGGATAGTAGGAGACTAGATCCCTAGGAGTATTGTTGTAACTTTTGTGGTGTTTGCCATTTGGAAAGCATTATATCTAAAGGCAAAACACTAGAAATGTACGACCCCCTACAATAATAATGCCATGCTTTTCTGACTGTTTGGGAGCTGTTCTTGTTACTTTCTTCTTTGCAGAGGTGGACTTCTCTTCCATCTGGGTAAGGATGTTGTTATTTAGTCACTAAGTCATATCTGACTCTTCTGCGACCCCACAGACTATAGCCTACCAGGCTGCTCTGTCTATGGGATTTTCCAGGCAAAAATACTGGAGTAGGTTACCATTTCCTTCTCCAGGGGATCTTCCCAACCCAGGGATCAAACCCACGTGTCCTGAATTGCAGGTGGATTCTTTTACCACTGAGCCACCAGGGAAGCCCCTGGGTAAGGATACAGGCTCTTTTAATATCATTTTGGCTTCTCTTGTCAATGGTGCAATCACTGAACTTTAGGACACTTGCCGGAGATCTCAATGTCAAGTTGCCAACTAATCAAACCTTACTTACCAGCTGGTGATATTTGAACAGGATATTCCAACAGGCTAACCATATATTCCTTTAGATCAATATTCTCAGAAGTTCACTACTTTTATAAAAACTGTTGAAAATTTCAGTTTTCATTTTGAGATTTTTCTTTAAAAAAAAAAAAGAAAAACCTTTATCAAGGATATAACATACCTAATTAATATCTCAAAAATATTCTCCTACTCTTAAGAGTAATCTTAAGTCATGGTTTCTCAAATGAGGATGTCTTGCTATGGACTCATGAGATTTTTTTTTTCTTCTTTAAAGTTAGAGAAACATTCTTTTACCTTAGTTACGTTACACTGAATCCTAGCCGTCACTCTGAGAAATCTGGGCTCTGAGGTACAGCCATGATATAGAGCAGCTTCCTTTTCTATATTTACCCTCCAACTGCTCTTGATTTTCTAAATTCTACCCCTCCATCAGGATAGTGAAGCAGTTGGGACTTCCCTGGACGTGCAGTGGTTAAGACTTCACCTTCCAATGCAGGGGGTGTGGGCTGTATCCCTGGTTGGGGAAGTAAGATCCCAAATGCCTTGGGGCATGGCCAAAGAAAAATTAAAATATTAAAATAACTTTTTTTTTAAAATAGTGAAACTGCTGCACCTTCAAAGAATCATATTTGATTCTTCTTTTTTGACTGTTAGCTTTTTATCAGGAGATAATATATAAAATGTGTACATAGTTTCTTAGTTTGGTGCTAAGAGAAAATTTCTATAAATAAGTGGTTAGTTTTCTTCATTAAACAAGGAGGACTTTGTCCCTCTATATTTTGGGAGGAAGGAGAATTTTAAACACTTCTTCCCATTCCAAGTCCCTGTTTGACCCCACACTGTCATTTCTCTCTCTTCTAAGATGGAAGGTGTCACTAATCTGATTGATCCCATATGTTAGGTTTCTGTCACTGCACAACAGATGACCATGATGGTGTTCAGTTTAGTTGCTCAGTCGTGTCCGACTTTTTGTGACCCCATGAACCGCAGCATGCCAGGCCTCCCTGTCCATCACCAACTCCCAGAGTCCACCCAAACCCATGTCCGTTGAGTTGATGATGCCATCCAACCATCTCATCCTCTGTTGTCCCCTTCTCCTCCTGCCTTCAAGCTTACCCAGCATCAGGATTTTTTCAAATGAGTCAGCTCTTCTCATCAGGTGGCCAAAGTATTGGAGTTTCAGCTTCAACATCAGTCCTTCCAAGGAACACTCAGAACTGATCTCCTTTAGGATGGACTGAATGGATCTCCTTGCAGTCCAAGGGACTCTCAAGAGTCTTCTCCAACACCACAGTTCAAAAGCATCAATTCTTCAGTGCTCAGCTTTCTTTATAGTCCAAGTCTCACATCCATACATGACCACTGGAAAAACCATAGCCTTAACTAGATGGACCTTTGTTGGCAAAGTTATGTCTCTGCTTTTTAATATGCTGTCTAGGTTGGTCATAACTTTCCTTCCAAGGAGTAAGCGTCTTTTAATTTCATGGCTGCAATCACCATCTGCAGTGATTTTGGAGCCCAGAAAAATAAAGTCAGCCACTGTTTCCACTGTTTCCCCATCTATTTCCCATGAAGTGGTGGGACCAGATGCCATGATCTTAGTTTTCTGAATGTTGAACTTTAAGCCAATTTTTTCACTCTCCTCTTTCACTTTCATCAAGAGGCCCTTTAGTTCTTCACTTTCTGCCATAAGGGTGGTGGCATCTGCATATCTGAGGTTATTGATATTTCTCCTGGCAATCTTGATTCCAGCTTGTGTTTCCTCCAGCCCAGCGTTTCTCATGATGGTGTTATGACACCCATTTATCAGGTCAGATTCGTAGATCAAAAGACGTGGTTGGATTTTTGGCTTAGGGTCTCCTGTAGCCAATATCAAGGGGTTGGCTTTGACGGCTTATCTGGAGGCTTTCAGGTGGAATTCATCTTCTAGATCTTTCAGACTTTGGACAGGAATCAGTTTCCTTATGAGTGAGAGTCCCATTTCCTTGCTTGCTGTCAGCTAGAGTTGGGGAAGGAGCTGGGTGCTCTTAGCTCCTAGAGACTACACATTCCTTGGTGTATGGCCCCTCTAATCCTCAAAGCCAGGCACAGTTTATCAAATCTTTCTCATGCTTCAAATCTCTGAGTTCCCCTCCCATGTGTCAGAGAACACTTCTGCCTGGGAACAGCATCAGGGGACAAATTTATTGGAGATCATCTTGGAACTCTGCCTACCGTGTCCAGAGCCAAGGATAGCCATTGGTCCGGATTCTTGCCTTAAACACAAAAGTCCCAGTTTCCTTGCTCCAGTTTGGATTTTTTCCATGTGAGTTACAACTCAGCAAATTCTGTCTCCTGGAGGCAGAATAGGCCATCCCAGCAACCTATTGGATTGGGTTGGATCAGTAGACAGCTGCTCTGTAGAGCTGGTACTGCTAGGAGGTTCATTTGGTCCTCCTGGCCTAAGCCCAGCCTGTTAATGATTCTGTCCTTGGGAGCAGGACAGAAGGCTTACTCTGCTGTCTGTAGTCCATTCCAAGGGCAGCCCTCTACCCTGGCAACCCCAAGAAAAGAAGAATGGTGGAAGGTATTCAGCCCTGAGACCCTGCCCCAAATTCCTATTAATTATCTTTTCTCTTTTTGTCTTGGATATCAGGAAGATCAAAACAATATTGTGTTTTTATTATTTGCAGTAAAAATCTTTAGCTTAGATACCTGTAAGCTTAGATACCTTTAGCTTAGATACAAGTCTCTTTCTACCCTCATCACAAGGTCCTTTTTTCTTTATCTTTTTAAATAATTGTATCTTACACTGCAGGCACAAATATCTTTTTGAAATAAAGAGGTATAAATAAAGAATTGATGCATACATTAAGGGGTTTCTGAGGAACATCAAGTTAGGTGATTTTTCAGTGATCAGAAAGCTGGCCTCATTTACTCTTTTTAAACTTCATCTTATGACTCAGTTCTTTGCAGAGTGAAATGAAGGTTATATAAGTATAGTCTTTACCAAAAAATATCAAGTTATTAATTTTAAAAGCATTCAAGTAAATCTAATTTTTAAAAGTCAAAGGGAGAACATAGCTGCTGACCCTAGCACCATGAGCATTCTGATGGTTCTGATATCAAAAACAGGTCTCAGCTCTTCAACGTATTTCTGCTACTGCTATATAGGTAGATACCAAAGTCCACAAATTTGAATTCGATTCTGTGTTTGAATCATCAGCACATGGAGACTTGACCCACTTTCTGCTGGAGATCTCATTGGTGAATCCGACAGCCATTGAATCTCAGCATATTAGAAACATGTGCCTCTTTCTCCACCAGGTGGTTGATCAATTTTTCTTTCCACTGCCCTCCTTTTGTGGAATTTTAAAAGGCTGAGTTTGTTTTGATGTGCAGTCTTAGCCCAATTTTTAAAGTATGCCCCTCAGGGTTTGATGTTCGCACCTATTTTTTTTTTCTTTTAAAAAATAATGATCAGGTTTCTTTCTTTATGTAAACAATATTGTTCTTAATACACACAGTTTTGGATTTTCATTAGATCTTGAAGTAACCCGAGGGATTATTCTAATGATCTTGTCATTTTATAGGTGATGAAACTGAAACCTAGGGGTTTAAAATGACTTGCCCAGGTCACAGAGTTGATTAGAAGTCAAGCTAGTCCTACATGTAATCTAGGTCTTCTGATGCCTTCTGATGTCCTGTGTTTTTTCTTTAATCATAAATTGAGTGTTTTAAGGAATTAATGTGTTTGGCTTCTTAAAGGTAAATTATATTTAAATGAGCACTTCAGAATGCTTCTCCAAAAAGAATGAAACATAAATAATTACAATCCAGGTCTTGGCAGAGTATTTCTTCCATTTGATATGCTGCCTTCTGCTGAATCTATGGGGGTTTTGTCCATCATTTTGCTAATGTCAGTTGTTTTACAGGATTTCCCAGTTTTCTACTATGTTGTACCTTTGCATATTTTGAAAAATTGCTCTATTTTGGTATACCTTTTTCCCTTAAATTTTGCCCTTTTAGTCTGTTTAGATTTAGGTACCAGAAGCATTTGACATTCTGTTTCCTACCATTGAAAAATATTTGTCACAGTCTTAAACTCACTGACATTTTTATAGCTGATTTCTCAGGGCATATCTGGGAATTGACTTAAATTCTTCTTTTAAAGGCTGTGTTTCTGAGCTCCTTCCCAGCTGTGTATTCGGAGCTGCTGAAGCTCTTTGACGTCCGGGAGGTGGCCAACTTGGTCCAGGACACCCTGGGCAGTCTGCCGACGATAGTGCACGTGGATGACGCCCTGCAGGCTGTTAAACTGCAGTGCATTGGCAAGACCGTGGAAAGCCAGCTCTATACCAACCCAGGTAAGGTGCTGTGTCTCTCAGATAAAACAGTGTCTCTAGAAAGCCATTGCTTACATTTTCTAGTCATAGGTCAGCAGAAGCAATTTAAAAAGGAAACTAAAAACTTCTTTCTCAGAAGCATTGTGTATTTGGATGGTAGAATAAGTTTATTAAATAGTCACACACAAAAGTATGGGTCTTAAAATTTTATTTCTGGAAAGAATGAAAATTCTAATAATTAAATTGTTAATTCAGATCACAACAAGTTGTAGTGTAGGGCATGCTTTTTTCCTTGCTGTAGATTTTTTTTTTTCTTTTAACAGTCAACAAAATTAAAAATTTTTCTTTTCAGAGATGCTTACAGGGAACTGCTGTAATCCTTGTTTGTTTATCTCATTTGTCAAAAGTTTTCCATCAATTTGTGTTCTGAAACTGGGTGAAAGTTTCAGTGTGTTGTCCTTTTTTATATATTTTATCCTAATAGCAAGTGACTACTTACTAAGTTGATTTTGTCATAATGTCTACTATGAAATCCCACTACATACTGGAAATTCCTCCAGTTAAAAAAAAAAATGCCAGTCTCATTTTAAATTATATTTTAAAAAGGTTCCATAATTATCACTGAATCAAAAACTTTAAAAAATTATATTTTGAGAAATCTTTCACATGAATACATATATGTGTGTTATATTTTTTAAATAGGTCTAAAATATAGTTAAGAAACCTTTTTTACATTATTGTGAAACACTTTAAACATACAAACTAGACTAGAGCATAATAAATCTCAACAATGGGGGATATTTACTTTAGGTCTTTTAAGAGATTTGTCATTATAGAAATAGACCCTCTTGTATATACTCACTTCCTTCATATATGTTTCCACTATCAGATTAATTTCTGTTTTCTATGCCTTTGTTCTGTAGCTATAAAAACATCAATTTTTACCTTTTCAAATTTTTTTCATCTTTTAGTTTTTATATAATATTATATTGAATGTCATTCTGTAGAGTGCTTCTTTTTTATTAATATTGCACTTTTTTTATTTTTCCATGCTATTAGATATAGCTCTTGTTCTTTTTTACTGTTGTATAGTAGTCCAACGAATATTTGTATATTGTGGTTAATTTATCTTTTCCCTGTTGATAGACTGTTAGTATGTTTCTGATTTTTTTCTGAGATAAACAATGTTTCAGTGTGAAAGAGGCTTCAACCTTCTGATTTCTTCCCATGAAAACACATCTCATCCTGGAAAGATGCTTTTGTAGTAGTTTTCAGACTGTACCTCTCAGAGTCCTAGGGTTCTGCTGCAGTGATTAGGGCTTCCTTGAGGGTGAAGAATAGGCGGTATGAAGTAGAAAGGATGAAGGTCCCAACTAGGCATCCACATTTGACTAGAATATAAATTCTGTCAATATCAATTACCAAACTAAGAAGAGTTTATTCTCCTATCAGAGGAATTGGTGATTTTTACCATATTTCTCTCTTACTGGCTAGATAATTCTTTGTTAGGTTAAAGTCTGACACAAGAAGAGCAACATAGATAATGAAAACCGTTTTTAAATGTAAGGAACTTATTTTTGTTCATTATTGCCCCTGGGAGATGTGTTCCGTCTGTGGACTCAGCCCCTTGTTGCTTACTGATGCTCAGGAGGTGGTAGAGAAATCATACTGGGTCTCTGCAGGAGGTGGCGAGATTATTTACTGGGGCCAGAATAGAAGGACTCAAGAGACCCAGGGAACGTGGACCCTGAAAGACCTGTGCTCGTGACCTGGAGGAGAGACTCAGAGCCAGTGCTGGGGATTAGTGATGGTGACACTGATGTGGAGAGGGGCAGGGGAAGCCTGCCTCCCTTGTTATGTGGGACACTCCTCGTGGAGGGTGATGATGGGGAAACATAAACTTCTGAGAAGCAAGTGACTCCCGACCAATGGAACACACGGACGCAGATGCTGGTAAGAGGCTTGACTTCCCTCAGGGCCCCCAGGAAGATGGGATTAGCTTGTGGTTTAGTGACTCACGGAGCTTCCCAGGTGGCAGAGTAGTAAAAAAGTTACCCAGGAACCATAACAACACCAAGGAAAACCATGAATAGCATCACCAAACTATGGTGAAATCAGATTCATGTTGTAGATAAGTTTTGACCTGTTAGTTTCCTGCTGGTGCCACAGTGACTACCACAAACTTAGTGGATTAACGTAACTCAAATTTCTTATGTTACATTTCTGTAGGGCAGAAGTCCAAAATGCTTCTCACTGGCCTAAAATCAGGGTGTGGATGGAGCAACATTGCTTTGTGTAGCGTCTAGGGAATAATTTGTTTTCTTGCCTCTGACAGCTTCTAGAGGCTACCTACATTTCCCCCTCCTTCATCTTTAAAGCCAGCAGTTTAGCATCTTCACATCTCTGACTCTGTCTAGCTGCTTTCACTTGTAAGGACCTCTATGTTTACATGGGTCCCACCTAGAATTCAGGGTAATCTCCCCAGTTCAGTATCCTTATTTTAATCATTTCCAAAAAAATCTCTTTAACAGAATCTATTCACATAACATATTCACAGGTTCTGAGAATTAAGATGTAGATATCTTTGAGGGAAACAATTTATTCTGCCTACTACATAGGGGTAAAACGAACAGTTTAAAAGCAGTGTGATGGTGTAGCTCCATATATGAAAGGCAAAAACACTCAGGAGTCTATGAATTTTATTTACTTGTTGGAAGCAAAATAAATGGAACATGAAGTCCTACAGTTATATAAGTAAACACGTCTAGGCCAGATGGAAGTTACAAATGACACTTTGCTGATTAAAATTATAAATCTGAACAGGAGAAAATAAAACAGGGATAAGTACATTACAGGGTATCAACTGGCTATGTATTTAGCTGAAGACAAAGTATTTAATTCTTGATGGCCTTAATAACAGTTCCACTTCTCAGAACACTGAGTATGGCAGAGATAATTGCTACTCTGAGCTGAATTCTGATCAACAAAGATGAACTGGTTAGTGATAGACAGTGACAAGGATCTGAGAAAGTGACCTCATTTTCTGGGGCATTCATATTAGCTAGAAAGGCGTACAGAGTACAGTCAGCCCATGCTTTAAGAAAATAGATCTCAAAATATTTTGGAGGACAAGACTGTAGATGTTACAAGCTCCTTAGGAGAGATAGAAAGTTTTGAAAGCTGTCTTTGTACTAGAACCCTATATTAGGCTTCTCCAGAGAAGTAGACCCAATAGTGTGTGTGTGTATAGATTTATTGTAAGGAATTGTCTTATGTGTTTATGGAGGCTGAGAAGTCCCAAAATCTGCAGTTAGCAAGCTGGAGCAAGTTGGTGACATAGTTCCAGTCTGAGTTCCAAGGTCTAAAAACCAGGAGAGGTGTTTGTATAAATTCCAGTCTAAATCTGAAGGCAGGAAAAGGTGGATATCTCAGTTGAATGACAGGCAGAGAGAGTAAATTCTTCCTTACTCCACCTTTTCTTGTATTCAGAGCTTCAACGGATTAGGTGAGGCCCACCCATGTTGGGGAGGACAATCTGCTTTACTTAGCCTACCAAATCACACATAATTCTCATCCAGAAATACACTGGCACACCAAAGATAGCATTTAACCAAATATCTGAGCTGCCATGGGACATGTTGACATACAAAATTAACCATTGCAAACCCCAAAGAGAAAAAAAGTGGAGGAGATACAGAAAGGAAGCAGTATGGCTGCAGAATACTTCTAGTTGAGCCTGCATTAGAAATTAATATTCACAGAAGGCAAAGAGGGACACACAGGTCAACACCACAGAAGGGAACAACAAAAACGTGGTAGGAAGGTTCAAGCCATCTTGAGTTAAGGGCCAGGGGGCAGTCTCGGGGCTGGAGGCATTCCACAGCCAGGCAGAACTGAATCAGTCCCTTTGAGCTGTACCCGCAAGGTGAGAGTCTAGAGTTATCTGGCTAGACCTGAAAGACTTAGCTCAGATTTGAAAGGTAAGCAGGTTGTTATTCCACACCTAAATCATCTGGGGTCCAGGCAGGCTTATTTAAGGTATAAAAGTTGAGCTGCCCACTTTCCTTTTCTCCCCACAATTCTATTCTTCCTGTTTTTTGAAGGCCAGGAAAAGGTCTCATTGATGTTGGAGAAGATAGCTTGCCGTGAGTAAAGAGCAGATTTGAAGGATAGAGGTTGAGGCAGGGGGAGGCAGAAGCATGGAGAATGGGAGCTGAGTGGCAGTTGAAGTTGTGGGAGTGAGAAGGTGGACGTTGAGTCTTCTCAGACCAGAGGGCAGGCTCTGGGGGACTATGGTTTTGCCTCCGTTTTCATTGGGCCCCATCGCTTGGTGCTTGACTTATTCAGCAGAGGTCTGCAGTCATTCCCGAGCTATTTGCTTGCTAAGATAAGGTCATACATGTTTTTCCTTTGGGATAATTGAGCAGTTTCTCAGGCAAACCACACTGTAGGTAATAGAGGTGAGCACAAATGCACTGAGCATGTAGTGATGAGAAACACGCTGGTGCTACTTTCCGTTCCCACAAACTGAAAAACCAGGTATCATAGGGATTTCGTAAGACAGTGCCCAGAAGTCATTGTTTTTTTCCTTCTGCCAGAAACTCCCCAGTTCCCTGTTAGCTCTTTTGTGGAATTGATGGCGGCAATGAAAAAGTAAAGGAGAAAGGGAGGAAGGTGGACTGTAATAAGACTGTTTTTTTTAAGGACATCTTTGTTGTTGTTGTTGTTGTTATTTTTAATATTTGGCTGCACAGGTCTCAGTTGTGACATGCGAGATCTAGTTCCCTGAGCAGGGATCAAACTCGGCCCTCCTGCATTGAGACCGTGGAGTCTTAGCCACTGGATCACCACAGGAAAGTCCCCATAAGACTGTTTTTAAAGTTTTTTCTGGGAACGAATGCCTCTAGCTGTCCATCCCACCCCCCATTTTAGGCCACAGTATAAAAAAAGGATGTGTGATGGTATATCTATTAATTTGACGACTTGAAGAATAAAATCCTACTACAGTTAGTGGGTGCCTA